TCTTCTGACAGCAACTTCTCGAAACCATTCGACGTTCGAAACTGTCGGTTGGGCGGAACCACCGGTCGATCGTACGGTTTACGATTCACGCCAGGCGAATGGTCGTAATCCGCGAGCGCTTGACGAACGTGTAGCTAACCGTCGCCGCCGACGCGTCTCAGACGCCTCACCGGTCTTCCTTCGGACATCTTACAACATCACGGCAGCCGCAGAGATTTACCGGCAGCGTACCCGGAAAGGTCGACGTATCAGGGAAGCCGTTGGTACACGTGCAGCGAAAGTTTGGCACTGCCGTCGCTTGAGTAGACGTCCGGCTCTTCGGGTAAGTTGCCAAGCTCTCTGGACAGAACGCGACGGAACTTTTCGGCCAGATCCAACGCCGCGTCGTCGCTCCACTGCGGTTGGCTCGAGTCGTCGACTTCTAAAGGTATCGTGTGCACGAACAGGTTTCCGTCGAAGACTTTGCGGAAAGTCAGGTCGCCACGTGACCTAACCATCCGCTCGAGAACGGTCGGCGATGCCACCGAGTATCCCCTAGCGTTGCCTTCATTCACGAACGTCATCACGGACGTGACCGACGGCGCCACGTCGACGCCTCGGAAGCATCTCCAGGATCCGTCGTCGGACCTGCCGACCGGAGGAAGGCACTTGGAATACCTTCGAGCGAGAACGAAAGGTCGTGGCAGTTGTCCTTCGCCCGTCAGCAAACCCACCGATGCGAACCTGTCGTGATTGTAGAAATCCTCGATCCTTTTCAGAATGCCGGATCCGTACGTGAAATCCACGACTTGGCTTTCCCGAAGTTTTTCGTTTTCTTCATACGACATGACGTGTCCCGGTAACTTTTGTATTTAAAATCTCACCAACTGTGTAGAGTGTCCAAGAATAATAGAAACTAATGCAAATTTTTCTTACGTTCTCTCATTTATCTGTTGTTTTCTAGAAACACGTTTACGGCGACGAACTCCGCCACGATTTTGGGACTTTCCTTCGCGAGCAGGTTGTACTCGACTATCATGTCGAGATTTTACATTGTCCACGCTCTCCTGAGATCTCTCACGATGTCAGGAGGAACGCTCATCTCCCGAATCGCCCTTCCGCCGGATCTCGGCTCCGGGTACAGCAGCAGCAGGTTGTCGTGTCCGTTCTTGTCGCGAACGAGGTGGAACACGTTCTCGCAAGGTTCGTCGAGCATCCTTCGAGCTTCGCACGCGGACCGCACACGGACCGCACGCACAACCTGTCGAATCTATCCTGCATGCCCATATAACGACGAACGTCCTCCCGCCGGACGACATTCTCGTCGCGATCGCAAGCGTCGGAGAAACCTTCGTCGAACGTTCGAAACCTTCTCCAGCGGACGTAAGATTCCAGCCAGGTCATGACGTTGGATCTGTTGCAATTCTTTCTGGATCGGAACGCCATCGAACGCGAATACTACGACCACCGGATCGCCGCCTGCAACGGAGACGATGTCAGGTACTGTTACGACGCCCTCGTGACGTTCCAGACGGTGCCGACCTTGAGATCCAACGGCCGGCTATCGTGGCCTCACCGAGTTCCGGACTTCGAGACGAAAGGGAAAGTCGCGGTGCGGGCGGCCGCGTTCGGCGAGAGGGTTGGGTACGATCCGTATCCGTTCATGGAATCCGCGATCGTCAACCGACTCGGTAACGATGCGGACGCCCGCGTTCCTGTGATCGCAGCGTTCAGGAGTCACGCTCACGAGGTCGGTCTTGCATCGGCGAAGTGCTTCGACCAGATGTTCATCGCTCACGTTCCGGCAACCCACGTCCGCATGTTCAACGTGGTGCTGTCGACGCACAACGCCCGCATAAGGAAGGGACTTGCGTCCGTGGGAAGGGTGATAAGAGATTGGGCCGGCGGCGCTAGGGCCGACGAGTTCGACGAAGGACTGCTAAAGCCGCTCTTCATCCTGACCGAGAAGGAATCTCGGCTCGTGCAAGCCTTCCGACGTTCCTGCGGAATATACGACCAGAAGCTGAGGACGAAGAATAGGATCGTGACCGTGAGATCGGAACCTGCGTCGTGAAAATTTCGCTGGCGAGATTGCAAGCTCAAACTTTGCGATCAAATCACGCTGTACGAGCGGGCGGACGAACCTCTCAAGTGGACGTGCTGCATGTTCGCCGACGACCGCGTCCCCTTCAGACGCTTACCGGTCAACCTTCTGTTGAATATCAAATATCCGATACGTTCCACTTCTTCTTAGTTTATGTAAAAAGAGACACAATAAATAAAGAAAGAAAAACAAATAATACGATTTTCTGGTGTATAATTTCTTTTTTGTTCATTTATTGTTTTTATCAATCAGACTAACGTAATCTTTTCGCTTATCAACTCAACCTTCTTTCCCGTCTTCGTCTTCTCCTTCTCTTCGTACGAACAGCAGAACTTCATCTTCACCGCATCCAACATCAATGCCATCTGGAAGGTGACGAGAACGGCGAAGAATGCACAGGTGACCAAGGTCGGCGTCTCGCACAGTCCGGTTCCCGGACAACACGTGTGGTACGTCAGAGAGAGGACGATCGCCGGCAGCAGACAGTTGGCGCAGATGACCGCCAGGAATTTCTTCAGTCGGTGGCGCTTCCCTTCCAAACGATTCGCGTAGCCAAAGCCAGACTACCAGAGCGACCAGGGTGTAGATATCCAATGCTCTGTTAACCCGTCTCACGACGGAAGAGTCGGTCCACAGTCCGTCCAAGACAAGATTCAAGTAGGCGCCGGCGAACGAACACAAGACGTACTCGACTACTAGGGCGTCGGAGCGATCCATGAACTCCGGAATCCAACCTGTCACGAAACACGTAATCACCGCAGCGGCCGGCATGAAGAAGCTGAGCGACGTGTCCACGATCCGGTGTTTCGTGTTCGTGTCCAGCAGACCCGGACTCAAGCTGTCGGTAATTCCGAAACATATCGACATGGAGATTTTCAGGAAGGCAAGAAACACGACGGCGGCAAACACCGGAACCGGTACGATCATCGACAACGTGACGTGGAGGCGTGTGCAGAAAAGGGGTGTTGAGAAAGTTACAGTACGGTTCTTGGCGAGTAAATGATGACGGTGGCGTCACCTTCGTTCTATTTATCAGTGTTCGTGAAGTACAAATGACGTAGCATTTTTGTGTACGACGAAAATTTCCGCTTCGTAGTCGAGAATGTTTGCGCAGCAAACGCAGCGCCGTTTGGGTGGCGACGTTCGCACAGCCGGTCTGGTCAGCGAACGTCGACGCTGGTGGGTGGAAATGCGATCCGACGGACTCATGATCCAATACGATAAAGCGACCAGGTCGTTGTCGACGGTCACTCCGTCGGGTAAGACATTGCTGTGGTATCTTCCCGACGAAATTCTTCGATTCGCCGTTCGATACCGAAGTGGGATCGCCAGCTTTCGATTCACTGTCGATTCCAGCGTTTCGATTAATAATATTAAATCATATATGGCCTTCAGCAAATGCAGAATTAATCAGCGTGGCGGAGGTGTCGTGGCATATGTTAAGGACAACTTGCAATGCGAAATATTTGATTTTATATCAGTACCACCAGAGCTTGAAATGATTTGGTTATTAGTGTCTCACCACAAACTACCTAGGGCAGCGCCATATTTGATCATCGGCTGTGTTTATATACCCCAGAATCTCCACATCAGCAACTTTCGATTGAACACATTGAGTCAACAGTGGATATTATCCATACCCACAAACCTCAAGCTGGAATTATGATCACTGGAGACTTTAATAGAACTGAAATTAAATCTTTCTGTAGTGGTAATAATTTAAAACAAATTGTAAGATTGCCCACAAGAGGAAATGCAATTTTAGACTCGGGGTCGGGGTCGGGGT